AAACTATTCTGGCATTGATGACTGGTTAGAGGGCTAATTAAATAGAGTTTGGAGCAGGTGGATCAGATGAGCATCAATGAGAAGCAGGATGAAATTAGAAAGGTGAATGAAATTAGTAATTAGGCAAGTCATCAACGCCAAGATCATGACACCTAATGCATCTATTCTGAGATCTATCCAAACCAATATCGTAAGACAGGGTGTAATTTTAATAAAAGGCCCCTTTTATCTGCGCCAAGGGGTAACATTTACAGCTGATTTGTTTCCCTGATAGCAGGATTAACCCAAAGTTTAAAGTTGAAAAGTTAAGAAAGGATTTTAAGGTTTTCCCAGAGGTGCTCTTCATGCCAAGGAACAATCCATTAAATTTTGGTAATGATCCAGGTCATAATCCAGAGACAGAGTTTTTTTTAGAGGATTCATCATCAGATGGGGATATTTTATGAAACAAGAAGTTCTTTCCCATTATGGGGAGTGGGGGCCTAGTATGGGGATTGGCGGTTGGGTATAGAGCTTGGAATCCTGAGGTTCTAAGGGTAAGCCCGACACCCATAGACTGCTACTCTGGGTCTCTGAGCAACACATTTAACCCCCGATTACTCCCCAGGTGCTCCATAATGGCAGCCCACTGTTCCCCAAGGGGATGGGTTAAATGCAGAGGTAAATTTCTCCAATGTGAGATCAATAAAAAGGTAGCAGCAGTGACATTCTCAATTATTTCACAAATCATGACTTATTCACTTCACCCAAAGACATAATCAGAAACAAACAGAAATACAAGGAAATACTGTTAACTTATGAGGAAAAACACTAGTTCGTCCCTTGGCTTTTGCGTTCTTCCTTCTCCCTGCTTTGTGTGCTGTCAGGGCTTTTTTTTTTTTACTTCATGATCCAAATTACTGTAATATACCCTGCATATCAGATAGGACCAAAATCGCAGGTTCTCAGCCCTCTTCAATTGAGTGAACCTTTGCAGACTTATGGTAAAAATGATCTGAGCTGTGGATGGCTCAGTTATAGTGCCAATTCTTATCAGCTCTTTGTCGGCTTTAGAATTTTTTGGATTAAGCAAACCACTGAGGACTTACAAAAAAAGTTCCCCTGTCACAAGCACAACATAGGTTTAAGTTGCCAGGAAACCGGACTTTCGTTTTTCTTTTAAGAAGTTTCGAAACCTTTCCAGGAGTCATTGTCAATTCTGTTGGTTAGCACCAGAGAAATCTGTAGTTGGAGGTATGATGTATTTAAGCAGCATGGAGGTCCATCCTACTAAGCACACTTTGTTCTTTTTAATTGTTGGAGTCATTTGGTCTCCATGGACTATGTGATTGGCCTATAAATAATGATTAGAGGTGTTATGAAACCATCTGCCCTCTATCTCCAAAATATGAATATTTTGATCTTCAAATGTGTGTTCTTTGTTGTTGAGGTGCAAGTCTAAAGCTGAATCCTACCAAGAGTCAATGGGTCTCCTATGCTGTGCACTGTGCTTGTGTAGTTGTTTGTTTTCTACAATATAGGTGGCTGTACATTGCACTGCAGTGGATCCCAAAAAAACAACACTAGGTTTGGGTTTTCTTTGTTTAGATTGAACCAGTGTTTGTCTGAGTGTGTTGTTGGCAGTGATGGGCAGTAGTGCCAGCGTGGCTAACTTAACTGCATTCGTCAGTAGAATGGCTGTAACGTCACTGTGTTCTACATCAAATAGCTTTTCAGTAGTGAAGCTAGTTTTGTGGCCAAGTACCATGGTAGCACCCACAGAGGCTTAAAGCTAAATTTTCCCAGGCATTTCTAGACCTTAAATATATCTTTTATCCACTCCCAACACTGTATAGCAGGAGTGTAGCAGCTTTTCAACTTTGTGTTCAATCATCTTGGTTTCCACCCTAGACTATATACTGTAGAAAAAGATGTACTGTATCCAGTGTAGATATCAGATCAGCTGAATACAATATAGGAGGCAGAGGCAGAACCATCTTCACATCCAGGACATCCAACTCAAAATTAAGGAAGGATGAATGAATGTTTAATGTAAGTAATTTTGTTTTCCAGGTTTGCACTGGTGGCCAATTGTTGTTTCTGTGGCTTCAACAAGCATCTTAATATTCATTGTGATGTTCATCAAATGGAAGAAAACTAAAGGTCAGAACCATCAAAAATGAAGCTTTTGCATAAATGTTTATCTGGTTGTAACTTGGTTTCAAGTGAAAAACTATATTCATTTTATGTTTATGGCTTTTGATTGTTGGTATGATAATTATTGTTTTCTGCATTAGAAATGATTGATAAAAAGTACTGAAACTCTTTCATTACACTATGAAAGCTAAATTCAATCCCATTGCTTTTTCAGGATGTATCAGTAGGAGTAAAGGGGACACGGTGGGTTTAAATAAACTAAGTTTTTTGATATCTATTTTTTGATATCACACATCTAAAATGAAATATTAGATGTGTGATGTAACTTCATCAATACATGTACATAAAACATGAAATTGACCAAGCTCTGATGCTGCTTTTTCTGTATTTCTGGCAGGAACCAAACTTGATGAGACAGCCTGAAGAGACCGTTTTGGGTTCAGAACCCAGAGAGGATATGGTATGAGTTCAAAGCTTGACCACAGTGTTAAATTCATCATTGCTTTACATATGTGTGACAGACAACCACCATTTTATTTTAGTTCAATTAAATAGAGTCAATTTGCATCAAATGTCATCTTATGGAACTTTAAAGTCGTTTTAGAGTATACAAACAGATTTGTTAAAAGTTTTCTATAGTATCAAAGGAAATCTAGAAGATTGCATCATCTATAAAATATAAAAAAATGTCTATGATAAACTATTTTAAGCGAATGCAAGCATTTAATTATATTTAAAATTGTACTCTCTCGCTCTGTCTGTATAGATCTCTTATTTGACTCACTTAGAAACTGGGCAACCATTTTACACTAGATGCCCTTCCTAACACAACTGCATTCAAGTCTGTTTGTGTGTTACCTTTGTGATATGACTTTTTTGTGTGCAGACTGATCTTGCAGGGGAAGTTTGCTATGCTTCAGTTTGCCACAGAACAGACAACGTAACACAAAATAATGTGAGTGGTTACTTTTTTTACTGGTAGACAGATTGTATCTCAACTGCTTCAAACAAACTCTGGTGTGGTCTGTTTCTGGTATAAATACACACTGGCAACCTCAGAAATGCAGATTGCAAAAGTCCCTCTGGACTTACAAGCCACCGTAGTTCTAAATGTTCAAACAAAATCATATGTGATCCACTGTCTGTTGCTTAGCAATATAACAGACACAAAGCTTTGTCTCTTGTCTTTACTGCCCAATGACTAAACAAAGTATTATCTCAACACATCCTTAATCACAAAATCGGTCTAAATTAGATATTTGCTTTAAATTTAATCTAAATCTTTAATGTTGAATTTGAACAAGAAGGGGCAGTGTGTAATTCTGACTTAGTGTTAAAGAGTTTCAGATTACCCACACTCTTGAACACCACCCTTGGTAAATGTTGTTTTGTTTCCTTTTTTTAGGTCAGTTGCACTGTGACATATAGCGCTGCGGACCTTTCCTCCACTAAAGATTCTGGTAATCAAGACGTTGTCTACTCCACAGTGAAACTTAAGGGGGAAGATTTGACTTAGTTAATGTGTTCTTTTCAAAAATATTCAACTTAGTTTACAAAAGGAGAATTAAGCAAACCAGTTCTACAGCTTAACTGGAACTTGGGCTGGAGTCAGGTTTTAAGAAGTACTGAAAGATCCAGATTTGTTTGATTGGTTTCCACTACCCGGGTGAGAACCTAGACCCCCTCCCAGATGGTTTCCTGGTGATATTAATGTTTCATTATAAACACACTTGAAAATTAGTTCCTCCTTGTTACATAATGAGTTGTTGTGGAAGATCACAGAGGACTGGAAATTGTTAATAATGTCTTAAATAGTAGGCAAAGCTTGTGAAAGCATTGTTCTAATAAACTGAACAGGAGACTGTGAGTTGTTTCAATGCTTATTGGACTTTTTATCAATGTTAACATTTTTCTTTAAACATGGCAGTTTAAATATGAACCTGGGAACTTTAGAAATGAAGGTCAAAAAAAGTTTTTAAAAATTGGTGCCAAATTAAGTGGTTCTCTTGCTTAAAGTTGGGATAAACCAGTTTAGTGGTGCCAGAGTTAAGCATGGACTCGAACCTGGGCTACTTACAAACAAGTGCAGATAGGTAAGGACACTTTAGACAAAGCAGATTTTATTCAGCCAGCAGTCGCCATGACAGTAAGGAAGGTGCTAGGGGAAGCAGGATGCCTCTTATCACCAGTTCAGTTTGCAGAGGGACCTCATAACGTTCTTATCCACCACTAGGAGCCACAATTATTTTTGTGACAGGATATATATGCACAGATCACCTAAAGACTAAACAAGAATAGACCTTTTCATGACTTGTACTCTCTGTGACACATGAAAAGGTACACCCCTTTGTGTTGAAAAAAAAAACATTTTCCCATCATTTCCACTTTTATCTTATTTTGAGACCTGACTGTGAGCTTGTTTTTTTTATGTTGTATTTTCTATATAGCACAAAAGTATTCACTCAGACTGAAAATCTGCTAGAAGAGGCTCAACTTGAGGCTGATTTTACTGATGCTTGGGAAGCTGCTTTCCAGTGTGAAATATTTTGGAAAGTGTGCCAGACTACTTTAGGTTCAAGATTACTCATTATCCCTCTGTTTGTTCCAGTTTGTCTGGAACTTGTTTTGTGTGGAGTTGCCTGTCTGACCAGAACAGACATAGCATTGGCAAAGACTGTATCCGATCTGCAAGAGTTAATCGGTACAGGCCGTGATCTGATTCTTGTTGATCTTTTTTCTGATAACACCTTCTAATGTTTTGGCTCCTATAATGTAGAGCTTAAGCCATTCATTGCGTGTCTGTTGGATGGAAAGATGTCTGAAAGACTGAAGGCTGTCTGGATTCAACACAGCAGCTTACAGCTCATTTCCTACCCAGGGTAGTGTTCTTACTGTTGACCTTATGAGAGTTGAAGGGGTAGGAGCACGACAAAGGAGTGAGAAGCTATTTTGAGGTATTCAGGAGGAGCAATAGAGTAGAACCACACAGGAATGATAACAAATTTCACGTTTTGCAGTGTTTAAAGCATTGTTCTCAAAAACAGCTGTCTGTGCTTAACTTTAAGTTGAAAGGGTGATATGTTAAGTAATAGAGGGAACATTTTTTTCCGCAATACGGAGGATATAGCCTGAGTAAAATTTAAGTTCTGTTTTTTCCCACATTTTGGTTTTTACTTATTTGGTGTGGTTTTGATAGAGCTGGGTCCTTGCTCATGCTAAAGTTAGTGGTCTGACCCTTATTCTGAGTGGAGGATATTTTACTCTTAAAAATCAAATCTAGCAAAAGAGCCGTTTATAGTGCTTTTATAGTGTTACCAAATTGTCATCCGTTTTTGATTTGATTTAACACAATGAAAACATAGCAGAAATTTCTTTCATGAAGCTATATTGTACCTAACATATATAAAATTGTAGTTGTGTTCATCTTTGTTATTTAATATAAAACCTTTTTATTATCCTATTCCTTCAAACTTGTCACTTCTAAAAGACTGACTAATAAATGGACATAATCTAATCTAATGGCGCTTTTTGTAAGTTTTTCTCAGCATGTGGTTCGACACAAGCTAGTTGAAATATGACACATGGTTGTTTCGACCACAGTAACAGCAGACCACTGCTGTTGCTGCTGTTATTGCACTCGTGCATAGTTAGCAAGCAACAAAATGAACCCATATTTCCAACCACTAAGCCACTTTTCATACTTTGTCTTTTGTAAAAGACCCAAAAGATACACAGTGAATTATCTGTTTGCTTTCTATGGATAATTAATAATTAATTTGATAAGTCCAATTTTTCATCTTTTAGATAAGAAACAATATTTATTTATATAAAAACCTGTAACAGTGATAAATGGCAATGGGACTCAGACAAAGACATGAAAATTCAGTATGTCTGTTTAAGCACACGTTTGAGAGATATAAAAGGACTCAAAAACAGAGAGCTATGTGACGTCAAAACATTTTCATCATTAAATAGAAAATAAAATCTAAGTCCTATTAATTAAAGGATGGAAAAAATATGAACAGAAAGAAGATATGAGGAGGAAATGAGAGCTCATGAAGCAAAGAAACATATTAGAATAAGAAAACTTTACAGATCAACCACTTACAGATTAACCTGTAAATAAAATAGAATACAATAGTTAAATTCTAACTGACTTATTTACATTTTTGCATGATTAAGATTTTGAATATTTACAAGTTGTACAAAAAATATTTCTTTATTTTACTATGTATATAGTAAATGTAATGGGATGATTGTAGAAGTAGCTGGCTGCTGTTTGGAAGGATGGAATGCACTCAACAGTATCTAGAAGTAGGTATGAAGTGGAGGCATCTTAGATGACTCCTCTTGATGTGGAGGAGAAGCCGCTTTACTCCGAGCCTCTCCAGAATGACTTAGACCTTTACCCTATCTTCTATTCCTAAGGGAGAGCTGAACTTGTGGAGAACGCTCGTTATAGCCCCTTGTATACAGGATCTTGGTCTTTAGGTCACGATCCAGGTTTCATGAGCATAGGTGAGGGAATGTAGACCTACCGGTGAATCAAGCTATTTCACTCAGCTATTTCTCTCCAACAAGAGACCGGTGCAGCTGCTGCTATAAAGCGGGCACTGCACCGGTCTCTTTCATTCATCTACTGATCTCCGGCTCCATTCTCCCCAAACTCCTGAACAGGGGCCCAAGATATTTGGACTCCTCTACCTGATGCAGGAAATCTCCATCCTGAAGTGAACAAGACACCATTTTCTGACATTTTGCTGTTTAAAACCCCCGATGAGGTTATCTCAGGGTTTTAAGACACTGAAAGGGTGATTCAGGGGTGTGTTCAACTCCCACCTCCGGGAGAGCTTCTCTCAGGTTCCGAGGGAGGTTGGAGACATGGAGTCCGAATGGGCTGTGTTCTCTGCCTATATTGTCGATGCGGCTGCCCGTAGCTGTGGCTGTAAGGTTCGCGGTGCCTGTCGTGGTGGCAATCCCCTAACCTGGTGGTGGACACCGATAGTAAGGGATGCCGTCAAGCTGAAGAAGGAGTCTTATCGAGCTTGGCTGGCTTGTGGGACTCCTGAAGCAGCAAGCAGGTACCGTGAGGCCAAGCGTGTTGCAGCCCGGGCGGTTGCAGAGGCAAAATCTTGGGCCTGGGAGGAGTTCGGAGAGGCCATGGAAAAAGACTATCGGTTGGCCTCAAAGCGATTCTGGCAAACCGTCCGGCGCTTCCGGAGGGGAAAGCGGTGCATTGCTAACACTGTTTTCAGTGGGAGTGGGGAGCTGCTGACCTTGAAGGAGGATATTGTCGGGCGGTGGAAGGAATACTTTGAGGATCTCCTCAACCCGATAGACATGACTTCCGTGGGGGAAGAAGAGACGGGGTGCTTGGGGCTGGATTCGTTCATCACCCAGGCTGAAGCCACCGAGGTGGTCAAAAAATTCCACGGTGGCAAGGCTTCGGGGTTGGACGAGATCCGTCCTGAGTATCGTAAAGCTCTGGATGTTGTCAGGCTGTCATGGTTGACACGTCTCTTCAACATTGCGTGGAGGTCGGGGACAGTCCCCCTGGATTGGCAGACTGGGGTGGTGGTTCCCCTCCATAAGAAGGGGGACCGGAGGGTGTGTTCCAACTATCGGGGAATCACACTTCTCAGCCTCCCCGGAAAAGCCTATGCCAGGGTGCTGAAGAGGAGAGTACGGCTGATTGTCGGACCTCGGCTGCAGGAGGAGCAGTGTGGTTTTCGTAATGGCCGTGGAACAGTGGACCAGCTCTACACCCTCTGCAGGGTGCTTGAGGGTTCTTGGGAGTTTGCCCAACCAGTCCACATGTGTTTTGTGGACTTGGAGAAGGCATTCGACCGTGTCCCTCATGCTGCCCTGTGGGGCGTGCAATATGATGCGACCCTTTCTCTTTCAGT